AAAAAAAAAAAAAAAAAATAAATAAATAAATAAATAAAAAGTATATTTTATTTAAGAATGGCTTTAGATTTACAGAAAATGATAAAGTGGTACACAGAGTTCCTATGTACGCCCCCCCCAACAATTGTTTCCCCTATTACTTATTTATTTTGAGACGGAGTCTCACTCTGTCACCCAGGCTGGAGTGCAGTGGTGCAGTATCATCTCTGCTCACCGAAACCTCCACCTCCCAGGTTCAAGCAATTCTCCTGCCTCAGCCTCCGGAGTAGCTGGGACTGCAGGTGTGCACCACCACGCCCAGGTAATCTTTTTGTATTTTTAGCAGAGATGGGGTTTCACCATGTTGGCCAGGCTGGTCTCGAACTCCTGACCTCAGGTGATCCGCCTGCCTCGGCCTCCCAAAGTGCTGGGATGACAAGCGTGGGCCTGTTTCTGTTGTTATTAACACCTTCACTTAGTGCGGTACATGTGTTACAAGGAATGAACAATATTGACACACATATTAAAGTCCACACCTCACCGCTTTCTTTAGTTTCTACTTACTGTCATTTCGTTTCTTCTAGCATCCCACCCAGGACACTGTAGTACATTTGGTGGTCATTTCTCCTTCAGCTCCTCTTGGCTGGGGCAGTTTCGCAGACGTTCCTTGGTTTTGATGACCTTGACAGTTTTGCGGGATCATTGGCAGGTATTCTGTAGGACACCCATCATTGGAATTTCTCTGTTTGTTTTTTGAGACAGAGTTTTTTGCTCTTGTCATCCAGGCTGGAGTGCAATGGTGCAATCTTGCTCACTGCAACCTCCGCCTCCCGGGCTGGGGTTTCACCGTGTTGGCCAGGGTGGTCTTGAACTCCTGACCTCGAGTGATCCACCTGCCTCGGCCTCCCAAAGTGCTGGGATGACAGGTGTGAGCCACTGCGCCCAGCCATGTCTATTAGAATTTGTCCCCAGGCTTCGGTATAGTGATCATGTCTCACTGTATCCTTGACCTCCTGGGCTCAAGTGATCCTCCCACCTTAGCCTCCTAAGTAGCTGGGATTACAAGTGTGCACCATCATGCTCAGTTAATTTTAATCTTTTTTTGGTAGAGACAGGGGTCTCATGATGTTTCTCAGGCTGGCCTCAAGTAGTTTCTTGCATTCCTGGCCTCAAGAAGTCCTCCTGCCTCAGCCTCCCAAAGGGCTGGGATTACAGGCATGAGCCACAATGTCTGGCTTTCATTTTGGTTTTATTATGCATTTCCCTGATGATTTTTTTTTTTTTTTTTTGAGAGACGGAGTTTCGCTTTTGTTACCCAGGCTGGAGTGCAATGGCGCGATCTCGGCTCACCGCAACCTCCGCCTCCTGGGTTCAGGCAATTCTCCTGCCTCAGCCTCCCGAGTAGCTGGGATTACAGGCACGCGGCACCATGCCCAGCTGATTTTTTGTATTTTTAGTAGAGACGGGGTTTCACCATGTTGGCCAGGATGGTCTCGATCTCTGGACCTCGTGATCCACCCGCCTCGGCCTCCCAAAGTGCTGGGATTACAGGCTTGAGCCACTGCGCCCGGCCTTCCCTGATGATTTTTGATGTCATGGGCTTACTGGCCTTTTGCACTTTTGTTTTTAGATGGAGTCTTGCTCTGTCACCCAGGCTGGCGTCAGGGATTCAATCTTGGTTCACTGCAATCTCTGCCTCTCGGGTTCCAGCAGTTCTCCCACCTCAGTCTCCCAAGTAGCTGAGACCACAGCTGTGCACCGCCATGTCCAGCTAGAGTTTGTTTTGTGTGTGTAGATGGGGTCTTGCTGTGTTGTACAGGCTGGTCTTGAATTCCTGGCCTCAAGTGATCCTCCTGCCTCGACCTCCCAAAGTGCTGAGATTATAGGAATGAGCCACCACGGTCAGCCTATTTCATGTTTTTTAATGCTTTTGTAAATAGTGTTTTAAAACAACTTTTATTTTCCAATTTTTTGTTGCCATTATATAAAAGTACAATTTTTTTTTTTTTTTGAAAATGTCCCACCCAACACCAAGATATACAATTAATTTTTGTTTACTGATTTTGTATCCTGGAACCTTGGCAAATTCATTTATTAATCTCAGGAGTGCGTGCGTGTGTGTGTGTGTGTGTGTGTATGTGTGTGTGTGTGTGTGTGTGTGGTGTTTATTCTGTAGATATTTTCTTATGTCAGCTACAAGAGTTATGGCTTTACAGCCGGGCATGGTGGCTCACGCCTGTAATCCCAGCACTTTGGGAGGCTGAGGTGGGTGGATGACGAGGTCAGGAGTTCAAGACCAGCCTGGCCAACATGGTGAAACCCCATCTCTACTAAAAATACAAAAATTAGCTGGGCGTGGTGGCTGGTGCCTGTAGTCCCAGCTACTTGGGAGGCTGAGGCAGAAGAATTGTTTGAACCTGGGAGGCGGAGTTGCAGTGAGCCGGGACCCAGCCACTGCACTGCAGTCTGGGCTGCAGAGCAAGACTCTGTCTAAAAAAAAAAAAAAAAAAAAAAAAGTTACTACTGTACTTTATCCAAGATACAGTTCTGTAATGATAAAATAGAAACACTTCTATGGCAAGAAATTCTAAGTATACAAAAGTGAACAGGCCGGGCGTGGTGATTCACATCTGCAGTCCCAGCACTTTGAGAGACGAAGTCAGGTGAATTAGTTGAGGTCAGGAGTTTGAGACCAGCCTGGCCAATGTGGTGAAATCCTGTCTCTACTAAAAAAAACAAAAAATTAGTCGGGTGTGATGGCGGGTGCCTGTAATCCCAGCTACTTGGGAGGCTGAGGCACGAGAATCGCTTGAACTCAGGAGGTGGAGGCTACAGTGAGCTAAAGTCATGCCACTGCACTCCAGCCTGGGCAACAGAGTCTTGGGAAAAAAAAAAAGAAGTGAATGAATACCGAACTAAAAATAAATTTCCATTCCATCCTCTTTCCTAGAGCTGGCTGGAGCCAAAATACAGAACAAGGCTAGGCGTGGTGACTCACGCCTGTAATCCCAGCTCTTTGGGAGGCTGAGGCAGGTGGTTCACAAGGTCAAGAGACTGAGACCATCCTGGCCAACATGGTGAAACCCCGTCTCTACTAAAAATATAAAAATTAGCTGGGTGTGGTGGTAGGTGCCTGTAATCCCAGCCACTCAGGAGACTGAGGCAGGAGAATCGCTTGAACCCAGGAGGCGGAGGTTGCAGTGAGCTGAGATGGCACCACTGCACTCCAGCCTGGCGACAGAGCCAAGAGCCAACACTCATCCCCCACCAAAAAAAAAAAAAAAAAAAAAAAAAAGAAAAAAAAAGGGGAGGGGTTTTTCATTATATACACAGAGACAATCAGGTGCACCTGTGAACGCCTACAGCATGTGGTTCCACTCACTGGCCAATTCTGCAGCTCCCTTTTGTCTTCCTGAAGGGTCTCCCTGGGGCTTATGCAGGGGAAGGGCTCCAGGAGACCCTGACAGCACCTACTGCTGTACCTGAAGTCTCACAGCCTTCGAGGAGGCATGAGAAGGTACCAGCACAAGCTTGCAAAGGGTTTGACACCATCCACCAATATGTCCCACGTCCCCTTCAACGCGTCGCTGACCCGGCTGAGATTCTGCAGATGCCGCCTCACCTGGCTCTAAGAGGATTGGGGCAGGTGGTGAGTTAGATTAGGTCAAGGCCAGGGAAACCTGCTAGGGAGAAGCGCAGGGACTGAGAGGGAGGGGGGAGCATGGGTCTGCACAGGGCAGAGTGGTAGGAGGTGAGTTCGAGGAGGGAAGAGATATGGGGGGAGGGTGTTGTGTAAATGGCAAAATAATAAGATCACCCGTTTACTTAGATATTCCTGTAAGCGAGGCTCTGTGCTGGGCATGTAAATGGCATAACCCAATATTGCTCACACCCCGCACGTATGGAGAAGGTGTTACCCAAAGTCTCGTGGACATCCAGCTGCCCACGGGTCGTCCTCTGGACAGTCCAAGAAGCAGATGAGCTTGGTATCACTCGAAAGAGTGGAGGGGTTCAGGGCAGCGCTCTTCAGCTGGGAGGCCTGGTCCATGCTCAGACTGAATATTTGCAGTCTACTCAGAAGGGCACTTAAACACCCTCATGGTTGGCATAACGCCCCGTAGGCAAAGGGATTACAGGCTGCCAGCCTCAAAGAACCTTTTGTAAGGGTATTAGAGCACATAGGACAGCTGCTGTCACATGGGAAGTGACACATGCTAGGGAGACCCTGCCTATTCTGGTTTTCAGGGCAAGAAACTCCCATGCCTCAGTTTCCCCTTTTCTTTGCACCTCATTCTCTCCTCTCCCTGCCCCCACCGCCCATCTCTCCCTGTTTCAATCAATCTGCTTCCCTGGGGAGCCTCAGTGTGGTTTTCTATGTACATCCCTCTCAGGGTCTCTCTGGGAAGCGAAGGTTTTGCATTATATCCTGGCCGTCTGTCCCCACCTCCAAATGCAGCCTGTCACATGTTTCCCCCAAATCCGCACTAATGCTCCCTGTGTTTTGCTGAGGCTGGCCTGACCTAAGAGGATTGAAGCATTTGCTAAATGAGACCAGGACAGGGTCAGAGAACTAGCTGTGGGAAGACACAGGGGCCACAAAGTGATGGCAGAGGAAGCAGGAGGGGAGAGGATGGAGGGAAGGGGTGGCATGCGATTGATGCAAGGACACAGAGACCAAGAGCCCAGTAGAGACTTTCTGTAGAGCCAGTCGTGGTGGCTCGCACCTGTAATTCCAGTGCTTTGGGAGGCCAAGGTGGGAGGATCACTTGAGCCCAGCAATTAGACCAGCCTGGGCAATACGGTGAGCCCTGGTTTCTGCAAAAAGTAAAAAGAAATTAGCCAGGCATGGTGGTGTGTGCCTGTGGTCCCAGCTACTCAGAAGGCAGAGTTGGGGGAGAATCACTGGAACCTCGGAGGTTGAGGTTGCAGTGAGCTGTGATTGTGCCACTGTACTCCAGCCTTGGCAACAGAGTGAGACCCTGTCAAAAAGAAAAAGGAAAATAAAAAAGCAAGCCAGGTGTGGCGGGTCATGCCTGTGGTCTCAGCACTCTGGGAGGCTGAGTCTAGCGAATCAATGAAGCCCAGAGTTCAAGACCAACATAGCCAACATGACAAAGCCCTGTCTCTCCCATTTTTGTTCTTTTTTTTTTTTTTTTTTTTTTTTGAGACAGAGTCTTGTTCTGCCGCCAGCTGGAGTGTAGTGGCGCCATCTCAGCTCACTGCAAACTCCACTCCCAGGTTCAAGCAATTCTTCTGCCTCAGACTCCCAAATAGCTGGGACTACAGGTGCATGCCACCATGCCCTGCTAATTTTTGCATTTTTAGTAGAGACAGGGTTTCACCATGTTGGCCAGGATGGTCTCAAAATACAAAAAAATTTAGCTTAAATGTGGCTGTAAACAAAACAAAACAACAACAACAAAATTAACTGGGCATGGTGGTACATGCCTGTAATCCCAGCTACTCAGGAGCCTGAGGCATGAGAATTACTTGAACCTGGGAGGCAGAGGCTGCAGTGGGCTGAGATGATGCCATTGCACTGCAGCCTGGGTGACTGAGTAAGACTATCTAAAAAACAACAACAAAAATCAAACAAACAGAAAGACTTTGTAGATACAGACTCATACATTAATGGACCCTTGGTTTGTGACAAAATACAAAATAAATTACAAGGTTCTCCTATTGACAATTGGAAATCCATGAGAAAAGAATAATCCTTACCTCACACCATACACCATCAATTCTGGATGTATGAAAGACCTAAATATGAAAGGTAAAACTATATACATTTAGAGAACAAAACAGAATACCTTCATCATCATGTGATAATGAAAGATTTCTTATTTTCCTGTTGGGTACTTGATATTGGAGAAAGATATTTTAAGCAAGCCAAAAAAAAAAAAAAAAGCGTTACTCTTAGAAGGGAAAAGTGAGAAAATGGAGAAATCTTCAAAGCAGTAAGCCAAACACTTCAGACTGGTGCCACCTGTGGGCTTTGTCTCTAATTAGTAACAATTAGGAACAGAGGCCTTTTAGAAATACCAACTTTTAGAAGCTTTTCTGTCAATTTGAAAATAGATATATATTGAGATATCTTGTAAAAGTAATTTATTTTATCATTTTATATTTTTTAGACAAGATCTCATTCTGTAGTACAGGCTGGAGTATGGTGGCAGCATCTCAGCTCACTGCAACATCAGGTTTAAGTGATTCTTCTGCCTTAGCCTCCCAAGTAGCTGGGATTCCAGGTGCCTGCCAGCATGCCTGGGTAAATTTTATATATATTATACATATTTTTTTTTTTTTGAGACGGAGTTTCACTCATGTTACCCAGGCTGGAGTGCAATGGCACGATCTCGGCTCACCGCAACCTCCGCCTCCTGGGTTCAGGCAATTCTCCTGCCTCAGCCTCCTGAGTCGCTGGGATTACAGGCACGCACCACCATGCCCAGCTATTTTTTGTAGTTTTAGTAGAGACGGGGTTTCACCATGTTGACCAGGATGGTCTCGATCTCTTGACCTCGTGATCCACCCGCCTCCGCCTCCCAAAGTGCTGGGATTACAGGCTTGAGCCACCGTGCCCGGCCAATTTTTTGTATTTTTAGTAGAGACGGGGTTTCACCATGTTGACCAGGATGGTCTCGATCTCTTGACCTCGTGATCCACCCGCCTCGGCCTCCCAAAGTGCTGGGATTACAGGCTTGAGCCACCGCGCCCGGCTATTATACATATTTTTTGAGATGTAGTTGCTCTATTGCCAGGCTGGAGTGCAGTGGTGCAGTCTCGGCTTATTGCAACCTCTGACTCCTGGGTTCAAGCGATTCTCCTGCCTCAATCTCCCGAGTAGCTGGGACTATAGGTGCGTGCCACCATGCCCGGCTAGTTTTTTATTTTTATTTTTAGTAGAGATAGTTTTCACCATGTTAGCTAGGATGGTCTGGATCTCCTGACCTTGTGATCTGCCTGCTTCAGTCTCCCAAAGTGCTGGGATTATAGGCATGAGCCACTGTGCCCAGCCTAATTTTTGTATTTCACCATGTTGGCCAGGCTGGTCTCGAACTCCTTACTTCAAATGATCCACCTGGCTTGACCTTCCCCCAGCTTGGCCTCCCAAAGTGTTGGGATTACAGGCATGAGCCACCACGCCTGGCCCATTTTAATTTTTATTAATAACTTCATTGTGTTTTACATGATCAATCTGCTGCTGATAGAAATGAAAAATAAAAAGGCAAAACTGGTCCATAACAACAGGTAATTTGAAAAGCGGTGAAATAGATAATATTAAAATCAAGAAATGCTACTAATGAAACAAAATACAAATAGGAAAGGCGTCTACAGCACTTTAATAAGCTCTCAAGCAGCATTCACTAATGCCAAATATCCCAGTGGCTCCAATCCCCCAGAAACACGCTCAGGCCCAATTCAAATGAGAGGCAGGCACCTTTGCAGCAGAGCCACCTATGATGGCCACACAGTGAAGACAGCAAATGTCCACCTGCAGCCAGGTGGGTAAAGGGTGGTGCATTCGCTGCAGAAAGTCACCAGCAGTGTATATCAGCCACTCCAGGTCCACTGGGATCTGCAGGACTTTGCAGACACAGGCCCCCTATTACATCCAGTAATCACCTGGGGCCTGAGTAGTTTTCATTCAGAGCCATCCTCTTGATGCTGAAACCCTGAGTCTTTGTTCGTAGAGTCATCCCCTTCTTGGTACTGAGACGTCATGGTGGAGACTGAGGATCCCTCCCAGGGGTCTAGAGGTGTGAGCAGCTCCGTGAAGTCAGGCAATAATGGAGTGTCTGGCGAGAAGTTGGAGGTCTAGGGGCTCTGAGGCCACACAGGGCCTGGGGCTGGGAGTGATCCTGGGCCTGGGATTGGGTCTAGGAGTGATC